AGTACAATTAGTCTGCTGTCGCTTTAAGATCTGCACGCATCTAATATAAATGCATGCATCCGTTTTTTTCTCAACTGTTTTCTCAACAGTATTAGCATAATCAGACACGAAAGATAACTTAGGCTACATTCACACTAGTGCGTTTTCATTTTAAAATGCATAACTTTTGCTATGGTTACGCCTGTCGTTTACACTACTCCGGCGTTTTCGACCATCGAAAACAGAGATTTTCGAAAACGCCGCAGACCCCGTTTTAGTTTGAAAACTCCTGGGGTTTGGTTTCAGTGTAAATGGACCAAAACGGAGACTTTTGAAAACGATGGCGTGGCTGTCAACATTCGCTCTGTGTATCCTTGACGACCGTGTAAACAATATCATCATGCTCATTGTTGTACCTGCATGAATGGTCATGTGACATGCGTTTTCGGTTGTGTAGTGTGGATGGAGAACGTTTCTGAAAAGCAGTGAACACGCAAGTGTAGACGAGGATTGTTTTCACTTTAAAACACCATTTTAAAACAAAAACGCACTAGTGTAAACAGGGCCTTAGTCCAGGAATCAGGCACTGTTTGACAGGCTTTTTAGTGTGCGCGCGCTTCAGGTGTACGCGCTCAGAAAAAGCGCATGTCAGAACAGCACACGAATTAAATGTTTAACCGGCAAGGCACATGCAAATAATGTACTTTTGTAATTGTGAATAAGTGCAATGTCCCATGAGTCTAACTCTACCACTGAGTTAACATTTGGCGTTGTACAGCATATTGAGACTGAGGCGCCAGAAAGGCAACTGATAGAATGTGTGCTGTAGCACGATACTATGATATTTCTGCAAAAGCAAATCAAGAACTGGTCATGAAAGTGGGCTCTTTTGGCAAAAGTGTGTTAAAATCATCACAATACTCTAAGTACTCAAGTGTGGTAAGCTTTTTAAATGTTTTTAATGAAGTCTCTTCTGCTCACCAAAGCTGAATTTATTTGTCTATTTGAATAGATTTTAAAATGTAATTTATTACTGTGATGCAAAGCTGAAATTTCAGCATCATTACTCCAGTCTTCAGTGTCACATGATCCTTCAGAAATCATTCTTATATGCTGATTTGCTGCTCAAGAAACATTTATATTATCAGTGTTAAAACAGTTGTGCTGCTTCATATTTTTGTGGAAACAATCATACACTTTATTTTTCAGGATTCTTTGATTAATAGACAGTTGAAAAGAACAGCATTTATTTGAAATAGAAATCTTTTTAAACATTATAAATGTGTTTCCTGTAACTTTTAACCAATTTAATGCATCCTTGCTGATTAACTGACCACAAACTTTTGAATGCCTAAATGTGTTTGTGTCTTTGACAGGGCTATTTTTAATTTTCTGGTAACTCATGACCCAGACAGCGAGAGCGTAACACCAAACACGTCCTGTTGTGAAAACACAGCAGTCGCCTACATTTTAACTTTTAATGAATAACTTCTCTGCTTTAGACGCACGCCCCACCGAGATCAACGCAGATCACGAGTTCAACACACACGAGAGGATGCTGATGGGTCGTACGTGACGCCAAAGACGGTTTGCCCTCTAAACAACATAAAATCCAAATCATGTACTTATGATCTCTGTGTACGATCTGTACACATAACAAGCAGGTAGAGGCAGGGGAAGAGGATATGACATCATAAAACAGAGACGCTGGACCATCTCGGCAGGGGACAAATGTAAGCAGCGACCTGTGGACATTCAGCCACTGATCCAATCTCCCTCACAGAAATGACTTCCGTACTTAAACATGACCTTCTGCTCTTTTCAGAAAAACACCAGCGGCAAGTGTGTGTGTGTTTGACATCCTTGCTGAAGGGAGAGTGTGAAACCATTGAGAGGGCAGATGAGAGACAAGGACGCTCGGCTCCAGACCCGAAGCACAAAACCGTTTCGCGCTACTGAACACACTTTCAAATGAAGCATCTGAAGTGCTGAGCGTGAATTCACTGTGGTGGAAATGGAAATTCTAGACTTTAAGACCTTTCAGGACTACAATCAATGAGAAATAAACACGAGAGCTAAACACCGAACTATCAGAGCAAACTTTAAATCATCTAAACTCCAGACGCAACACAAGGCCTCTGATAATACAAGCTCAGCTTTGAGAAAAGCATCTATTAAGGGCCCTATAAAAATCTGTTTCGTTTTCTCTCCAAATTCTATTTTTATTTGTTCCCAATTTCCACTTTTTCAGAATTCCATTTCGAGAAAAGCATCTATTAAGGGCCCTATAAAAATCTGTTTCGTTTTTTCTCCAAATTCTATTTTTATTTGTTCCCAATTTCCACTTTTTCAGAATTCCATTTGATTTTTTCCCAAAATTTTCTGAAATGGAACAATTTAGTGAAGCTTTTTTTTTTTTTTAAGTTTTGTTCAGCATCATATTTGATACATCAGGTTTTTATGGTTCATATAGAATGAAATAGTGAGAATACGGAGGAAAAAACAGCCAATTTTTATGCAGAAATATGCAATTTGGTGCAGATGCTGATATTTATATGAATGAAATTCTGACTGTAATATAATTCAATCAGATCTTTATAACAGTATAGCAGATACGTACATAATATGATATAAATATCAGTTGTCACTCTATATCTCCAATAATGTCTTAGTAAGATGATATTCATATGCTTAGCTTGATGAGCAAAACATATAATGCAATGCCAGACAATGATGATTGAGAGATGAACAAATAAATGTCCTTTAAAAGCCTGATGATCATATGTGACACTCACTGATTTTTCCAAAAAAATAATGTCTGGATAATCAACTTGATAAAAGTCAGCAAAGATTTCACAGCAAAAAGACACGTGAAGCACGAGCAGAAGGTGGACGTTTGTACAATTAAACTAAAAGCCTTTTACTTGCTAAAAAACATCTAAACTATCAATCAGACAACAGAATGCATGTAGTAGATTGAGTGCAACAGGTTTAACAACAAAGTTTTGATCATGGTGATCATTTAGAGGCCTTTGAAATTGGAGTATAAAATACAATACAGTAGAGTGGACTTTACAGTTTTAATGTAAAATGGTATGGCGTTTTGGTGGTAATTATGGTAGAAAGAAGTGTCTAGAGTTTCACTATAACACACCAGGTGCGTTTGGGACTCTATGGAAACACTGTCTAATGATGGAATATCAGTTTCCCATCAGAATGTAGGCTTGTTTGGATTAGCATGGTACCATCTTATATATTCTGCATAAAATATCCCACTACATCTGCCAAAATGTGCAGTATGCAATCATGACATACTGCATGAGATACTGTATTATACAATACAATTCGCTCAACTTGACCATACATTTCCATGTGACGAAACAGCTGATAAAAACCTCACAATAATCCACAAGCAATCCACAGCACTCCAGTCCAGTCCATCAATTAACATCTTTTGAAGCCAAAAGCTGTGTTTGTAAGAAATAAATCCAGTGTTTTTTTGTTTTGTTTTTTGCATTTGAATGGTGCTTGATCGGTGCATATTTCTCTACTGATTCAGACAAGATGACTTTTGCACTGGAGGAAGTGTTATTATGGACTCATATTTTGGTCAGAAGCAACACTTTAAAATCCATATTTCTCTACTGATTCAGACAAGATGACTTTTGCACTGGAGGAAGTGTTATTATGGACTCATATTTTGGTCAGAAGCAACACTTTAAAAACAAAATGCCTTAATGATGGATTTGTTTCTTACAAACATGCAGCGTTTGGTTTCACAAGATGTTAATTGATGGACTGGAGTCATATTAATTACTTGTGGATTATTGTGATGTTTTTATCAGCTGTTTGGACTCTCATTCTGACGGCACCCATTCACTGCAGAGGATCCATTGGTGAACAAGTGATGTAATGCTACATTTCTCCAAATCTGTTCCCATGAAGAAACTAACTCATCTACATCTTGGATGCCGGCCTGAGGGTGAGCAAATTTTCTTTTCTTTTTTTTGGATGAACTATATGATTAAAAAGTTGATTAAAAAGAACAATCTTACCACAAGGAACAACTTATGGTTTCTTACTCATAATATTTGTAAAAAAAAATAATAATAAAAAAAAAAAAAAGTATGCATATCGGCTACACATATGTGGATTCGAGGGAACGAATTGGAAGTTCAGACACTATACAGTGTGCAGTATGCACACACACAGCCCAGCTGAAGAGACATTGGTGGGCGTGGCTTGAGTGTTGATGCGAGGGCGCGCGCTAGAGTACCCCCATCCACACGAGCTCCAGGACTCCTTAATGACGTCACAGAATTCCCTCACATTCGCGCTTTTCAAGTTCCACAACTTCCAAGTGTTGTTTACCCAAAGGCAATAAAATTCCTGTAACTGAATGTGCTCTGTAATCGATGCCGCTCTGCGAGTGACAGCACGCAAGCCGCCGGAACCGCTCTGAAACAACATAAACGCTTTACACTTCGGAACAGTGTTACAGTCAAAACGCAACTCAGCGCTTCGCACTGAAACATGTCATTTTGCAGACAAACAATGCTGTAGGCCTATGTCGCGGTAAAACAGTATATTACGCTTTTTACATGGAACTCCAATGAATGATGTTACCACTGTCCAAAAACATACTTTTTACGTTACTATCAGAGGTGACAGCTATCTAACTAGAAATGTGGGGGGTTAAAAGTCTCCTGAATTGAAGAGGTTCAGTATTACTGATGTTGAATGTTTAAGGTCCCTTCCTGATATGTGTAACCCTTTAAAGGAACAGTGATACTTCAAAACACACTTCACACTCGACTTCCTCAATCAGAGAAGTCGAAGAACGTCGCGAGCGAGCTGCGAAACTTCTCAAACTGATCAGAGCTTCATGATTGCATGTAGGAAATGTGAATTTAAACGTCTTTGAGTTTAATAAACATCCAGGTTCAAGCATAAACATATTTACCAACACCCTGATGCTTCACTGAAGTACTGACAGCACAATAAGAACATCAAACACTTACAAACTTCTTCTTTCCGTCGCCTTCGTCATAGTTCTTCTTGCTTTTCTTCTCCTTGTCTTTCCCACTTTTTGGAGCACCAGCAGATGCTGAGTTTGGATCCATTTTTGTGCTGTAAAATCACTTATATTCCTCAGATGTGGATCCTCACACGCCCGCTCAGGGCGTCTTTACCCGCGGCCTGGTGCTGCTGCGCGCCGCCGGCCTGTGTTCGTCCTCCGGCACAAAGGAAAAGGAGGGAAGTTTGAACCCTGAGGCCCGGTTTCACGGACGTGTGCTGGTTTTCGGACCTTTCGCGACTCGATACGCGCCCGCGCTGATCTCCGCACACAAGTTTCCGTGTTTTCGCGCGAATTTGTCTCGATGGCGAATAAACAAACTTCGCGTTAAGTCTCTAAACCTGTCAATCTATAGAGCTGTCATGAATTCCTTTGATCACTGATTTCAAGTCCTGACGCTTCATGGTAAAGTCCTCAGATCGTACGAACAGCCATGATCAGCTGAAGTTTTCCGCTTTCTCTCTTTCTCTCTTCCTGTGTGTGTTGGGCAGGTCAGATGGGCGGAGCCAACATGCGCGCAGACACACACCTGAGTATATCACACACAGGTAGACAAATACTGACCCCTGCTGACCCCTCACGTGTCAGTCATCTAAAATATGAATTAAAATAAGCTGTAACAACGTAAAAGATTGTCATACATTGTGATACACACAGCCATCCTCATAATGGAATATTCCGATATTAAAACTGACTTGCCGATAAGGTTTTCACATTGGTTCATCTTTATAAATAGTAAAAAGTTTATTTAAAGTTAAAAATATTATTGTTATTAAGTAGGCTAATGAATACTTTTAATCAGCAAGATTTTGATAAGAAATTAATAAGTGACAGTAAAGACATTTAGCCTATGTTACAAAAGATTTCTATTTCCATTAAATGCTATTCTTTTGAACTTTCTAATCATCAAAGAATCCTGAAAATATAAATTTATCACAGTTTCCTCAAAAAAATATGAATGTTTTAACACTGATAATCAGAAATGAGAATATTAGAATGATTTCTGAAGGATCATGTGACACTGAAGACTGGAGTAATGATGCTGAACATTCAGTTTTGATCACAGGAATAAATTACATTTTAAAATATATTTACATAGAAAACAGGTACATAGAAATTAATTAATGATCTTTTTTTATTTAAAAACATATTTTTTTCTGTTTATTTTTCTTTCTCCTGGCATATGCAGCAATGTAATTTTCTACTACATGTTCTAATCTAAAATAAAAATATAAATTAAAAATAAATAAAAATAAAAAGGAAACTATATTTCTTCCTCACAAACCTTTATTTTATTTCTAAGCGAAGCGCGCCACCTGCTGGTATGAAGTTGAACAGCCGCTGCGTGTTAGTGTGCATCACAGCACATTCATGTGGTTTAAAAAACAGAGAAAACTTAATTTAGACTTGCCTTCTTGTTTCTTATTTGTCCCATTAACAGGTAAAGCAGAACGGATCCTGGTGAATTCATGCTGGTTGAGGCACATTAAGAGCCGTTTCACAGTTTGCTCATCTTTCCAATATCATTAACTTTAATGCCAGACTTCAGGAACGCCGGAGAAACGCTGCTGACAGTTGACTTACTTAGTGTTCTTCAGCGGTGTGTGTAATTAACAGGCCTCGAACGGTTGAGTGTGTGTCATACAGAGACAAAAAAGAAAAGAAAAGCTCTTTGCAGAAAGTCTGTGCATCCATTTCTCTCTTAAAGGAATGCACAATATGTCTCCCAGCTCTGCAGAAATCAGTCTGATATTGTCCACAGTCAGCCAGTCACTGCGTGTTTCTTAGTGAATGTGCTGACTCAAGCCAACCCAGTTTCACACTGAGTCATTATCATCTACAGCACACACTCCAATTTACCCAAACTCTCATCTAAAATCCCACCAGCGGGCCTGTGACACTGAAGGGCCCTGGAATGACAGAATGTAATGTAATGATGGTTTGTTGTGAAGTAATGAGGACATTCTCTGTCATGCAGGGCTTTTCACTCAAAGACACTTCTATTGTCTTTATGACTGCGGATTAACCCAGAGACTAACACTATAAATTTACCATTTTTAGAAATATTAGTTAGTCTGGTTAGGAAGCAGTTTCTCTGTTGAGAACAGGGGAACAAAGAGTGTTTATGACACTTCCCACGAATACAGTACAAATCACATGTACAATCATTGTTTAAAGCAATAAAAACACAAATAGCCAGTGGGAAATATTGAGTAGGTAAAATGAATTATTAAACAATTAACACTGCATAAACAATAGCTACTGCAGCTTCACATCAAATAAATAACACAGCTCATATGATATTTAGTGTGAGCTCCTGCAGAGAATGAACATTTTCTGAAAGTTATGCGCTTCCTCTCAGCTGCCCTTTAAAAACCCTTTCTAAGAGTTACAGACCCCTTTCCTTTATAGTTGAAAGTTCCCTTCAAATCTTCTGGGGACATTTTCAGCAAAGTTGTCCTCAAAAGTGTTGCTAGGTCAGAAACTCTCTCTCTCTCTCTCTCTCTCTCTCTCTCTCTCTCTCTCTTTCTCTCTCTCTCTCACACACACACACACACACACGGCCTCAAACCGATCAAAATCTGTGGTTATTTGAGGACTGTATCTTATTATACCTCAAAACAGTTGGATATTTCAGTCATGGCCATTGGTTTCTCTCAGTCTCTGTGAGCTGCTCGGAAAGGCTCTTGAGGAAAGAGACACATCCATTTGTCTTGGTTTCATATTATAGGCCTCTGTGTCTCTTTCTTATTGAGTCGCACCTGATTCTCTGCGTCTGTCATCGCGGCTTTGACACATCGGATGCGGATTAAGACAGATATCAGATTGATTTATATCTCCGCTGGCGTCGGCGTCTTACGTAACTTCGGGAGAATAAAATAACTGTCAGACAAACATCGATAGATGATTCGGGCTCAGCTGTGCGGAAGCCAGACTAACTACTGCTTGACTCATTTAGCTGCTGCTTTCATACAAAGTGTCTCACAGGAAACAATAATGACATTTCAGAGGGTTTGAACCTTAAACCTTTAGCTCAGATCTTTAAAGTTCAGCACCAAATCTTTAAACTCAGCACCAAAATTCAAAAACCCTGTCATCATTTACTCATCCAAATGACTGACTGACTTCCATGGAAAAATGCTCAAACCACTTATTGTTAACTTTGCAAGACTATTGAAAATCTTAGTTAATATACAATAAAATAAATAAAGCTCGAATTAAATAAAATATAAATATTAGATGAAAAACTTAAACAAAGATAGAAAAATGGCAGCTAACTTAAATAAAACAAGTTGAAGTACTAACATCATTAATACTAAAACTCTATCTTTAAAGTTCAGCACCAAATCTTTAAACTCAGCACCAAAATTCAAAAACCCTGTCATCATTTACTCATCCAAATGACTGACTGACTTCCATGGAAAAATGCTCAAACCACTTATTGTTAACTTTGCAAGACTATTGAAAATCTTAGTTAATATACAATAAAATAAATAAAGCTAGAATTAAATAAAATATAAATATTAGATGAAAAACTTAAACAAATATAGAAAAATGGCAGCTAACTTAAATAAAACAAGTTGAAGTACTAACATCACTAATACTAAAACTCTAAAAAAATAATAAAATAAAAAAGCCGAAGAAGAAATATTAAAAAACGAATAAAAATGACAAAAGTACATAAATTACTAAAACGTAAACTAAAATTAAAAATTGAAAATCTAAAAATAAAACCTATTCAAACGATTAATAAATACTATAATTAAATAATAATAACAACAATAAATAATGTAATAAAAACTAAAATGAAAGTGAAAACTGAAAATCTAACAATAAAGGCTTATTCAAACTATTAATAAATACTTTATTTAAAACTTTACTTAAATTTAAAGATAAAAACGACAGAAAAATTACAACAAAATTATTATTATAACTTAAATTTAAATGAAAACTGTAAATATGAAAACAAAAGGTTATTCAAATTATTACAATATACTATTTGATACGACAAAAACAAAACAGAATTGCTAAACTTTAAACTAAAATTAAATCTTAATAAATGCTATAATAGTATATAAATACTACTAAAATAATGAAGATTAGAAATATTGCCTTGGCAACTAACTAAAAAAATATGCTGAGGGATGATCTTATAGAACAGCATGAGCACGTTTGCTTCTTCTCATCACAACCTCATCCTATCAACCGGAATAAAATATCAGTACATTTTCCAGACACTCATGAATGTGAGATTTAATCATGGTTTAACATCATACAAGAAAATAATCTCTTACATAACGCACAGGACTTGTGATAAACCGTTGATGGACATAAAAGGCCGTGCAGAAGTACAAAACAGTCATTATATACAGACAGATCGATCACACAGGTGAGTTCGGCTTCAATCCGCCACTGATTCTGTTATCCAAACCGGTCTGCATCCATTGTGGGGCTCGAACGGGTCATTTGTAGGAGCTGCGGGCCTCTCGCAGTGAGCGGTCGTAAGGCATGGAGGCGAAGAAAGAGCTCCTCAGCTGACAGTTGATGAAGAACACGATGAGGAGGACCAGCAGGAAGAGCACCAGGCACATCACCACATACGTGGCCAGGTCTGGTTTGTCGGGCTCGCCCTCTCGTAAGGTGCTCCCGCGGTCCGTAGGCTTCAGGAGGGCCGACACGCTCACGGGCCCGTGAGACAGCGGCGCCGGCGTGTGTGTGTTGTTCATCAGGTCAAAGTCTCGTGCTGCTACCGTGGAGTTCAACAGCATCTGCCTCAGCATGATGAATCTAGACTGAAACAGATACTTTTGGTATAATTTGGTATACTTTGCTATATTGCAGCTGTTCCATACTGGTTAGTTTCCTCTAACAGTCATAACTTTGATTGACTATTAACATTAAGTCATGAGTAAGTGAGTACACTGGTCCACTTAAACTGGTATACATACACATAAATACATAGTGTGTACCTGGTATTCCCAACGGTATGGGGTCCAAATGTGCGTGTGCATTTTTATATGGGTGATGTTCGACTGGACCGATTCTGATCGTAGTGGTGGCCGTTTGGATCAAAAAATGCCAGGGCTGATTTTTTTGTCCCAGTCCAGCCCAGTCTGTGTCTGCACAGTCGACTTTCATAAAAATAAACCTAACAGGCTTTAAACTGGAATGAAAGCTTTGACAACTAACCCCGTTCTCCTCTACATGTAACTTGATGAATGTAAATACACGACTGCGCGCATGAGTTCTGCAATTAAAACATTGGAATTATCTAAAACTACATACACTCTCAGAAAAAAAGGTGCAAAAGCTGTCACTGGGTCAGTAAGACTCTTTAGGTGCCTTTTGAAATGGCATCGCCCCAGAGACAGCTTTTGTACCTTTTTTTTCTGAGAGTGTAAGATGCGCGCTCTGTTGCGCGTTATTTAAGAGGTTTCAGGGTTTCGCTTACCGTCTGTGCGCCGCGGACAGCAGGG